GACTCTTTACATTATTTTTTAAAGTTCATAACATGTTTGTCAACTTGCTACTTTTAACCCGCATACGAATACCCCAACATACCTACCACTGTGTGGTCTACCTATTCATGTCTTCTTGACACTTTGTCTCGGCCCGATAGAATAGGTTAAGACTAACAATGTCACATTTGCAGAGACTGTGGCCACCATTTCGGAACTTCACGGAGACATTAAAGATGGTTCCAGTCGAGGACGGGATAGAGGGTGCCCATGTCCCTCGTGACTCAGTGGAGTAGAGGAGGATAGGATAAACGCTAACATTACTTAAACGCAATTCCACATCGTCACTCATCACCACCATTATTTCTAAAATCATAATTGCTCTCAGATCATTGACTTGCATATATATATATATATATATATATATATATATATATATATATATATATATATATATATATATATATATATATATATATATATATATATATAATTCTTGAATTTCTATCTGTTACAGTTTCAACAAGTCATACTAAATACAGGGTGATCAACAACAAAACTGTATTACTTTTCTTTCTAAATATCTCGCACAAAACTTGTACTAGAATGTTGTAATTTGGAACAGATATAATTCATTCAAAAGGAATTTGTTTGACATAAAATTCACAAAGAAGAAACTTGCTTTCGAAAACTGAAATGGCTTTTATACAAACCACCTATAAATTATGCATAATGCTCCAGTTTAAAAGATCTCGTGAGGAAAGTCACAAAGTGATTCGTTTCGTTGGGTTTTTTCTTTGCCTTTATTTTAAAATGTAGTCTTTCCATCCCTGTAACCTTTAAGCATTATTTCTTTTCTCCTACAGAGTTAAAAATATTCTTTAAGTTCTGGAATTCTCAGAACCAATGGTCTATATGTCCTCTTTTGCTCGACACATTTTAACGCGTCGTCCGTAATGTTCAGTGGTGGCCAAATACAACGATCTACTCAACCATGAATACTCTAAGCCCCACACACTGTACGCCTTACAGTATAGAACTGTTTCTAGAGACATTGAGGGGGGGGGGGGTGATGTTGCCCAAGTAGACAGCATTTGTGGAGTTGATAAAACCTGAAAGGTGAATTAGGCTCTGCTAAGGAACTAGATGTCAGAGGTTATGCGCATGCTTTTCAAGACGATCGAGGGATCATGAACACATTGTTATCCCCTGATAGCTTTGCGAATAGGAAGATGGTACTTTCGTAGATCAAGATCTGCCTTGAGAATGCGGACCATTGAGATGTAGGAAAGTCCTTGCTAGACATCGTCTATGGACAGACATCTCATGGGGCTCATCTACGGAATTATGCACCCTGGTGACGTTTACAGGGGTACTAACGGTGTGATTCTGACCTCATGTTGTCGTTTGGTCAGGGAACTTTTAGGTTTGTTTCTCTGCAGGTTCTAACTAAAAGACCAATTCCACCCTTGATATAAAAGAAGGCTTTAAGGGCACTCAAACATTATTTCTGTACCTTGTGCGTAACATACTAATGAGCTGGTGGTGAGGAAATATTCAAATACAAAAAGCTATCTGCTCTTTACTAATCTTAATCACGATTTCAGCAGGAAAAGGAAACTTGAGAAAAACTATCTGCTAACTTCTGTTGGCTTGTTAGACTACTGTCGTTTGCAATATGGCACAATCGTTGGGATTTTTAGTGGTACGCCTAATGCGAACTAGTGGGCCATGCTACAAAAATCGGGACATAGCTGAAAGTGGGTGATTTTTTACACGCTATAGGGCAAAACTATTCTGTGGATTTATCTAAAATGAATATCAGACAAATTCCTTTTGACTTCCAAAAAGTTGTGTACAAATTTGAAACGCAGGACTTCAGTGTGTGTGTGTGTGGGGGGGGGGAATATTAATCAAAAAAGTTGTACAGGTTTGTTGGGTTTTTTGTATCACCCTGTATGTACGTAATACACTATTGGACACTGTAATACGCACTTTTTTTTCTAAATCAGATTGCGTCAATCCCATATAAATTATAAATGGGCAAGGGATTTATTTTAAAAAAACAACTAAAGGTGGAGGACTAGGGGACAATGACTATATTATTTTTTAGAAACAGGGAAAAAAATCTCCCGGAGAACAGCTAGGTACTTTTTGTAGCAAATACTTCTTTTTATTGGTATGGATCATGTTATCGATGCTCAATGTTTTTATGCTTTTTTGCATTTTTAAAAGGGAGGGTGGGGGGGGGGGGGGGTTTCCTTCTTCTGACTACCACATGTGAACAAAAACAAAAGCTCAGGCGAGAGAGAGAGTGAGAGAAAGAGAGAGAGGGAGAGTGAGAGAGAGATAGAGAGAGAGGCTAAGAGAGAGAGAGAGAGAGAGAAAGACAGAGAGAGAGAGAGGGGGGAGAGAGGGGGGAGAAAGAGAGAGATACAGAGAGAGAGAGAGAAAGAAAGAGAGAGAGCTAAAGACAGACAGACAGACAGACAGACAGACAGACAGAAAGAGATAACAAGATAATAGATAGATAAATAAATAAACAAAGAGAGAGAGGGGGAGGGGGGGGGGGAGAAATGAACATGTAAAGGGACAGAAAAAGCAAAGAAAATGTATTGAGTACTAACATCCAAAACCCTGGTAAACTGACTTAGCTTTAAACTAACTCCTGCAGCTCAGTACAGCTGTTTCTTTTCGCGGAGGTGTTTGCCAGAAACAAGAACTCGCCGCTGACAACAGGTTGAGGGGTAAGCAAATCTCAGTCGATTACTTCACACTAAGCTAGGGACACCTTTTTACTTTTGACAGCCTCGGATTCTCGCGGCTGCTCTCGTCAGATCGATAGGGTTTTCACTAACCCCCGATGTGTGTGTTACGGTTAGGCTCACCGCTTTTCAAATAAAGAACGTAAGTTTGATTCCCGCGACAGAACTGTAACGCATTGAAAATACCCAGTCTTTCTGAAGGGAAGTAATCCCCCACAATGCCCAGGGTGGCTTTGAAAGACAGCTTAGAGAAGAAGTTTGTCGCATTAAAGATCTCATCTCGGTGGAAAGGTGGAGGGGGGGGGAGGTGTAAGATGTCTGGAGCGCAACTTAAACGTTCCCAACACAGTGCAAGAAAAGCTACGTAAAAATCTAAAAGACGTTTTAAGATTACTTCTGCGAAAGTTGCTCAGCATTACCGTTGTGTCAGCTCTCCCTACATGTAGTCTTTAAAAAATATTATATCCCAATTTGCAAGAAATATGGGAATCAGGCAGGGAAAGTCAATGGATAATCCAAACGCAAATCTCCACTCCCTTTCCAATAAACCGGTGGATAAGCTTTTGTAATTCAATAGAGAAAATATCCAAGATAAGATGTCACCGCAGACTCCTTGACATCTCATACAAAGACCACATTTCAAATGCTGAGGTACGGAAGAGAATCACCAACGCAGTGGGGCAGCATGAAGATCTACTGACCACAGTGAAGAGACGAAAATTAAAATGGTATGGAAATGTCACAATATCCACAGGACTTGCCAAAACAATCCTACAAGGAACCGTTCAAGGAAAGAGAAAGAGAGGAAGGCAGAGAAGAAGATGGGAAGACAATATTACAGAGTGGACAGGAAAGACGATGGGTGACAATCTGAGGAAAGCAGATGACAAAGATAAATGGCGAGAGCTGGTTTTCAGATGCAGTGATGCCCCCACGGTTGCCCCAACCACGGGATATAAGACGAAGAAGAAGAAGATTACTAGAAAGGCATTGAGATAAAATCCCCAGGGTAATAGCAAAGGAGGAAGGCCTAAAACACTATAAGAGAGTTAGATATGAAGGCAGATTCCAAGAAACAGGACAAAACTTGGACACAACTGCACAAAGCTACAAAGGACATGAACGGAATGTGCTGGCGGTCCACGTCCTTGAAGCAGCTAAGAGGCAAGAGAAGGAAAAGGAATGTGTGTATGTGTGTTTAGGAAGGGGGTGCCGAAATTGTACTTGAAGCTACAAATCGACAAATACTTATTCATTGTAAAATTGTGAGGCAGCGTGGTGGAATCAGGCTCTTGTCAAAATAATCAAAGTGAAAAAACTTGCATTTTTCCATAGGTTTGTGAATTTTTTCCAAATTTTTGTTTTTTGGCTCAACACCTCTCATGCCCATTAAAGAACTCATTTGTGTATGAATTTTTCTGAAAAACGTTGATTAAAGGCACAAATAATCTTAAATTTTCAGTTACTACAGACTCTTAAGCTAAGAAATTAACTAATCTTTGCGGGCTTTTTCCTCACTTATTTTACATCTGAAAACAGGTGACCCCCACCTCCTTCTTTCGCAAATATCTAAACCTGTATTCGAGATAAATGGATATTTTTTTCCTTTGAAATAAAGACAAGTGAACAAGCTTTAAGATGGTACCAATAACTCTACATGCCGAAAAATTGACGAGAGCCTGATTCCACCACGCTACCTCACAATTTAGGAACAGAATAAATCTGAACGGATATCATGTTCAAAGCTACCAATCCATGCATGCTGTTCTCACCTCGGCCACGCATGACACAAGAGGAAACAAAGTGTAAATTCTCTTGTAAAGGTCTTCTTCAGCTCTCCATTTGGTACTTACTTAACCTATTGCACATATTCGGGGCCTTCAGTCTTACTGGGGCGGACACAATAATATGGTTAGACGTGACGTGAAAAGAACTATAAGGTAAATTTCACTCATGTTTTAGAATGGATTTGGTTGGGTGGGGGCTGAAGTAAACCTTTATCAATTCTTTCGATGATCACCGACAAAGACCACATAGTTTGGGTTTTTTCTTGACAACTGCATTGTTACCAACAATCTGCATTGCATTTTTTAAAAGTGCAGTTGCTTTTTTCTGAAGTTGCAACTGATCTTTTGTTGCAATTTTGGTGTGAGAAATAGAATGGTTTCCCGTTTTCTTCTTTTACTTTTCTGATTCTCACGTCTGGGATTTAAAAAAAACACAAGCCCATGAGACAATGTTATTTTAAAAAATAACTGTAGCTCATAACTCAAACGTATTTATTAATCTTTTTACTCATTCGAAAAGATCAGCCCAAACAATTATTTTGAAAGTGTTTACAATGATGACGTCAGTACCAGCAACAATGCCTTCAGATGTTGCCTATGGCCATTTTGCTGAACATTGACTGATCGTTAAGATGATGATGATGATGATGATGATGATGATGATGATGATGATGATGATGATGAGGATGATGATTAAAACAACAACATTGATATGGCTAACATTAATCAAAATAATCATACAATAGATTGGAAAGATGGTAGTAGGAGTTGTGCAGCCTGACTAAAATCTAAATTCTTTTTAAAAGAACTGCAACGAAAGATCAGTATTGTTTGCACAACACAGAAATACTTGGAAACTCCCAATTCTACGAAATGAACAATATCTAATTAGCATTAAAGAAATTAATTGCAGACTCTATGAAAATTGTTTCCTCCTTATTTTTTTACATTTATAATATAGCTCCTCTTCTTCTCAGTACGTCTTTCTGTTCCAGTCTTTTCAACCAGCCTCTGTGTCTCTATCTTCTATCTTCTCTCTTTCTCTCTCTCTCTCTCTCTCTCTCTCTCTCTCTCTCTCTCTCTCTCTCTCTCTCTCTCTCTCTCTCTCTCTCTCGTTCTTCTGTCTCAATATCAAGACAAACAACCCTTCCAGGCGGGGAATCGAAACCTGGTCTCTCTTGCGACGTACGGGGATACTTACCACTCTCACGACAGACGAGACACTCTCTTTACTGCACAATTATAGATATCAATATTAGATACTATGTTATGAAATGGTTTAAATACGAAGCTCAGCTGGAAAAAAATACCAAAGATACTTTTCAGCAGCCGTGAAGTGAGGTGCGGAGAAAGTCAATTGCCACGTTCATTAGCCTGTCATCCCGGAAAAAAGGTTCATAGACCCAAATAGTTCTACGTAGTACTATTGGGGAAACAGGCTCACAATAACAGATATTATATAACTTTTTGTTTCTGTAAAATACATGACTACAAATTGCCTTGGCTGCCCTTTGTGTTTATGTGTTACCAGAATTTTTAATATCATTCGGTTTTGGGGCCTTAAGATTAAAATAACTTGGAGGTAGTTTTATTGCTGTGTGGTGTAACCTTGATGTGTCAAATAAAAGGAAAAATGTACTGATAGATCTACCTCTAGTTCCCCATGTAGACGTTCTGGAACTTGGATTGTTTGGGAATTTGTGGAGGTTCTCCGCCTTTTTTGGCCCGCCATTGTCTGCAATGAACGCTATATTCGGAAGTCTCACCCTTTACAATGTTGAACTGACGGGATATTAAACCCAAGCCATTCCGCATGTAATTATTTTCCACTTCAAAAAAGTATGCGCTTTTAACAATCCTTTGACAAAAAAATTCACACAAAACGTACTAGACAAGTCATCACTTCCTTTTACCTCACTAAGGCATTCTATAATACGACCACTAAATATGCTTGTCTTTATTTGTGTGGACTATCACATATTAATGTTACAAAAGCAGAATGTCAACGCAAACTATAATAATACGAACTCTATTTCTTTGTCGAAGGCATTTTGTCATAACGAATATTCGCTTGGTCCAGCCTGTGAAAAAACAGGCTTTTTGCAAACTGATATAAGTCTGCATCGAGTTGATTGGATTGTATCACCCGCTGTAGGTCAATGACAGGCAACAGATGGGCATGGCGTTCTCCTTTCGTGTTATGGTTCTCAATGACGTTTTCCTTAAATCTGATCCCCGGGAACGTTTCCTGAAAAAGTAGAGAACTCTCCGCTTGATACTCAAGAAGTCCAAAGAAAGTGAAGGAGTTTGCCAGATTGCGTTTAGCGCTAGCAAGCATGATGGCGTCTCTTTGCTCCAGGGTGAGATTAGAGCTTAGTCTGTAACAGTCGGACAGACTCAGGTTGGCCAGCATTCTTGTTTGACGGTTGAATGCCAAGTTGGATCTGTAAAGACGTGAAGGGTACATGCAGTTAAGGCTCTTAAACAACCGTCAAATAATAAGGGGTATAGTCTCTTTGACTGTAGTTTCAGTCTTTGCTCCGTAACTACAAAATTAAGGACTTTCTAATCAGTTGTCAAAAGAGATGGAAAGACTCCATTATTTTTATGTACAGCGTGTCACATATACTTATCATAAGATAAACGCCTCAGTTAAACTCTTTAATTGAGCGCAAAACTCACTTCGAACCGAAACATGCAGCAAGATTTGATTTGAAACCCACCGTACTTATTTCACAAGAAGTAAGTCGGCAGCTCTCTGACGACAAACTAGCGCCCTATTTTCCGTTGCAGGGCTTCTGTCAGTCACAAAAGACTCCTAACTTGTGTAGTAAATTGAGTCTTTGTTAGTGTTTGAGCGCATGCAACCTACAGCTTGCATTGTATACTTCTCCAGAAGCAGAGAACGTGTCTGAGACTTCTAGTGCCTACTGGGGTAATATAATAGTTTTGCAGCGTATAGAGCAAGCTGTAGAGCGTGGATATGCGTTATACAGATGCAATCTTTCTTCTTCTTCTTCTTCTTCTTCTTCTTCTTCTTCTTCTTCTTCTTCTTCTTCTACTTCTTCTTCTTCTTCTTCTCCTTCTCCTTCTCCTTCTTCTTCTCCTTCTTCTTCTTAACCTTTCCAGAAGTTAGGTCGACACTTCTCTGACCTTTCTGCAATAAAAACAATCTGTTTTCCTATTCTGCCTGCCTTCGTGGTTTTGTTGTTTTTGTTTCAACCCAGATTTTCGTGTTCGATTACCATCATTCTTTAAAGCAAACTTTGAGCATGAATGCGAAAAACACATACCTACAGTTGACAAATTCCTTGAAGGCCACTCCCCGCCAGGTGTCTCCCTTATAACAAGGCGGGACCTCTTTGGCCGTGGCAGACCTCCCGTCACAGAACAGCCGTGTGGACTCCCACGTGGCCCCTGACCTCACGTGTCTCCACTCGCTCACAAACCTCTCCACCGGTTCTCGTAACATGGTCACGTAATGGTACCTGACACACGACGTAGAGAGAGTCAGAAGAAAGGGGGTAAGATATGGTATGTCTGTTTTTTATTGCACAATTTTCTTTCCCTATAGAGACAATTTATGAAACTCAACAATTTTGGGCGTACCAAATGTCATGATTAACTCGGGAAACATATTCTACAAGCAACGTGTGAAGGCACAAGAGGTAGTTGAAGACCTACAGAAGATGTGCACTGACTATAAAAACCTGTCTTGGGACGAAAACAACTTTGTTAGGCAGAACTGATGGCAAGAAACAGAGCGTTTTGTTTGCAGAAAGGACCCAGAAGCAACGTTCCTTTACTGAAAAAGCTAAAAGGAAAAAGACATATTAAAATGTTGAACTTAGGAGATGGTCATTGGTTTACCCGGCTTACGACCACAGAGGTCGGAAGAAAACCACAATGATGATATCAATGCTGGGCCTACTCGTGATATTTATTGTCCAAAAAAATATGGGGACTTCTGTTCTCTCAATTTCACTGACACCTGTAATTTAAAAGAAAAAAGTCACTTGGAGAGCAAAGTTCTAGCCTGATCCATTTTCAGGACATGAGTCTCAAAGAAACTGCTCCTGAAAAGGAGAGAAAAAGAGGGTAAAGGTTAATTTGAGATACACATTCTGAATTACTAGACCTAGCGCGATCATTCAGTCTCCATGGGGCCACTTTGGGTCGTCTTGAAGCCATGCACGAAGAAGTTTTGAACTTACTTTTAAAATGGATTGTTGAAATTTACACTTTTACCAAAACGCGTAAGCTTCTGCAGAGTCTCCAAACTCGAACTCATACATACCCAATTCTACTCAGACGACATTTGAAATTGTCTAAGATTGCCACCCACTGTCCAGGAGATAAGTGGTTGGTTTAGACAGATGGACGTCTTTCACTGTGTCAATATTAAGTTTAAAAAAGAGGCCGGGGGAGGGGGGATATCGTCGCCTGCACAGGAGATTATTTTATACAGGCTCGCCAGTATTAACCCTGACCCTGTATAAAAACACAGAGATGTCAACATAAACATATCATAACATTCATAGCAACGGTTAGCTCTACCTTCGGACTCGAGTCAGTTCGCCTTCTCTGTCCCTGAACCACGGGTCCACGCATGTAGACATTTCTGTGAAGTCCGCGTGTAGACCACATGGCCATCCAACTGTCCACCGATTGAACAGCCAGACTTGACCCTTGGCGTTTAAACAGTCACATTTGGGTCTGCATCAAAGAGAAGTAACAACATTTGCCAAAGGGGTATATAAATTGTGTCAGTAATTAACGTCAATATAATATCATGATTAGGCAATTTTCGTACCAATCGAACCCAGTAAGTAAAATTAAAGTATTCCTCATTGACATACATCGCAACAAATACAGGGGCCCCTCAAGGATGTGCTTTGTCTCCAGTTTTATTTACACTATACACAAATGATTGCCTAATAAACAACAGTAACTTTTAATTTGATAAAAATTTGCTGGTGTTTCAACCATAATTGGGCTAATTCAAGCTGACCATATCGAAACCGCTTACCGGAATTCTGTACTTAACTTTTCTTCCAAAGAACGTGTTGCTGATTTCAGAAATAAAAAGCCACTCGAAATAAAATGTGAAAACATCGAGCAAGTGTCAGACAATAAGTATTTGGGTGTTGCAATAGACAACAAACTCAGTTGGCGTGTCCACACTTCTCTCCTGCATAAAAAAGTGAACAAAAGACTGTTTTTTTTCTAAGGAAGCTCATGCATTTTAAAGTTGATGAAACATTGATGTCCATATTCTGTCATTCAACCATAGGAAGTATGATCAATTTGTGTATAACAGCATGGGCCGGGAACACGAGAGAACAAGATAAAGAAAAATTTAATCGACTAATACGGAAAGCGTGTAAAATTTCAACATCTACATTCCTCTACTTGGATGAATTATACAAATCAGCATGCGCTAAAAAAATTAATTTAATCTTTTTAGACAACAAACATCCCTCAAATAAAAACAGCAGTCTGAAGTAAATGACCTAATAAGCTTGCGTGTGTGTGAATGTTGGTGTGTGTGTACGCACGTGTGTGTGTGTGTGTGTGTGTGTGTGTGTGTGTGTGTGTGTGTGTGTTTGTGTGTGTGTGTACACGGGATGAAACACCAAACCAGTGTTCCAGGATCTGAACAATAAAGATGTATCTTATCTTATCTTATCTTAATGCAGATTAGCTCCTGCTGGTCATGTGTAGGTGGCAAAAGAAGTTCGTAATAGTTTTAGGGAATGTGATGCTATGACTGGGTTGTCATAGTAAGATTGTTCGCTTATGTGTTAGCGTTAATCTAAAGAGTGTACGTATGCACGGTAGTAGTAGTAGTAGTAGTAGTAGTAGCAGCTGCAGCAGCAG